TATATAAATTTTTGCTTGAATTTCTTTTTTCATATATTTTTTTTTCCAAATGATGATATTTTTTCATTATATTTTCATTTATTAGATCAGCTTTCAATTTATTTTCATATATCCCTTTTAAGTATATGTTTATATGTGTTATACATTTCGTGTATATGTACATTATATTAAAAATCCTTGTAACATTCATGTTGTATGCTATATATTTTCATTTATTAGTATATCTAGACATATAAATATTTATTTGTATTTTGATTTCATTTAGGTAACATAAATACTATGACTTTAATTTTTTCCATATTATTGAATCCCAAATAAAAATTTTTTTTTTTCTCAAATATTATATACAAATAAGAAATCTATTAACAGCACAGTATTAAAATAAGGTGAACTTAAACATTTATATACAGTGCCGGATCTACTATATATGTTAAGTAAGCATTTGTAATGGGCGTCGGAAAACTGGGGCGAAATTCAAAATTAAAAAAACAAAATTAAATTTTAAAAAATAAAAATTTTGTTCAATTTTTGTCATTGCTTGCTTTCCAAAAAAATCTGTATAACTTTAAAACTTGTACTAATATACAAAACATTAAAAGTTCAATTCCTGGTTTTAATTTAATTACAAATTTCGCTTCAGGGGATGAGGGAGAAGAACACTTTTTGGAAATCGTGTATGGCGCCGAACAAGTAAGAACCAGTTCTGTTTATATAATTGATAGTAACAACCATTTGTGTGTAAACATGAAGATACAGAGAGAGAGAGAGAGAGAGAGAGATTTTAGCAATTCCTAGACCCAAAATGAAAAAAAAATTAATTTTTTTTTTTACGAACTGCTTTTTACTATTAAATATTAACAAGTAGGGGCATGTACATTATGTTTCCCTTTATAAAATAAAAAACAAAACAAATATAATAGAGAAATAATTCAAATTATAAATAAATGATAATACAATATAATTTAATCATCATACATATATATATGCACATAATAGACAAACATGTGTACTTTCATTTATTATAATAGTGTTTATATAGAGGCACAAATATTGTCTGCAATCGAAATTAGGGGAAAATTATGGCAAAAAAAAAAAACTTTTAATTTAAAAGACCATATGGTTAAAATAACAATTTTTTCTTTTATTTTTGTTTTTTAAATTTTAATGATATTTCAATACGAGTATTAACATGTATTTTGAAGTTTATGGTTTTGTTTTTATGTAATTATACTCATGGGGAAAACTTTGCAAAACAAGTTTTTTTTTTGGATTATGGAACATGCTTTGGTATTTATAATTGTCAAAGATATATGAAAAAATAAAATGATTTTATGAGTGTGGAAAAATGGTTATAGTTGGGGATTTAACAGTTTGAGCTAAAAGTTGAATCAGTTGGGAAGTATGAGAGTGTGTTCTAAGAGTCATTCAATAATTATGCATTTGTACTTTGGGTTCAATTAGACGATAGTCTTATGCATTTGTACTTTGGGTTCAACAGTTTTTAATATCGTTTATTCATAATAAGGGACAATTAATTACATTAAAATTGTAATAGGATTTTGATATGACGGTCCCCTATCACTGCGTGCTCTATTATATAAAACTGGCGTCCTGTGTTTTATACAACTATTTGCCATATTTACATACGTAAATAATATTGTTTGTCTGGAATGTGAATGTAATTACGTTCTCCAGTATAATTATTGTTTTGTTAGTATTTTATAATATATTTACATATATATATAATTGTGAATAGGTACTGTTTTTATGTTCAAAGGGCATAGTGTTAAACACGTAATATGAAAAAATGTCAAACACAAAATTTTTAAATAGAATTTGTTTCAAAATTTCTATAGATTTTTAAAAATTAAAAATTTAATAAAAATAAATAATTATTTCAGTTGAAATTAATTTTTCATAATAATTTATAAAATACTCAAAATATGTATGTATATACGGGGTATTTCGCATAAGCAAATGATTTCAGGGGTGAGTCTTTAAACAATTTTAAGGAAAAAAAATATATGGAGAGTTTGAGACGGCAGATACAGATATACTCGTTTTTGAGCTATAACCATTTCAGAAAAATCAGTCCGACACTTAAAGAGTCCTTCATATAAAGGAATTCTAATAATTTCGGAATCGTGCAAGATAGAGTAATGATTTGAGACTTATTTTAAAAATAATTAATAGGTCTTTATTTTTGTTTTTACAATTAATTACATTTAACTTTTAGTTTTCGACAAAGAGCTGCCCAAAAATAGAATTATGTTTTTTTGCTTGACATTTTTTTCAAATTTTTTATGCATGTATATACATATATACATACAATATGTATGTATATGCATTCATTAATGAACATTTCAATTATTAGAATTTTTTTCATAAATTTTTAATTTTATTTAGTGAATATTTTCTTTGGAAATATTATAAGTTTTGAATAAATTTTCATTCACTTCCTCTTAATTTTCCTTGAATGCCTAAGAGCCACACCCAGACTTTAGGTGGTATATATGCATATATATATACACAAGCTTTTAAATCAAACAGATCTCATTGTTCTTCTTTTTCTAAAAAAAATTTCTATACTTATTAGAGAATTGTAATTTTAAAAGGTTTCTTTTTAATAATTTTATTTTTATAATAAGTGAATTTTGAATAAACTATAGTATATAGACGCACACTTGAATATATGAGCCCTGTATATATATATATATGAGTATGTATGTACAAAGGATGAAAATTAAAATTTTTTTGTTTGTTAAAAGAAATGAAACATTTATGATTTTAAAAGTTTTTTGATATTTTTTAAATTTTCGAGTATTTTGTAGAATTTGAACTCACTCAATATAACCACTTCATTATAATAGTTTGACCTGAAAGCAAGAAATATTTAAAAGCAAGTTTAATTTAATTTTTGTTTTTTGTTTAATATGAGCTCTGGATTCCTTAAAAATGTTTTAATTGTTTTAACAAAGGAAAATTTATTGGATAGGTTTTTGAACATTTTATTTGATTAGTCTAGAAATTAATTTTAAAAATCATGTATAACTAGATGATTTTTTAATTTCTTATAGAGAAATTGTTTTTACAAGTTTTTTTTAGTTTTATGACAAACATATACGAGTACTTGTAAGCAAATAAGGAAAATTCAAAAAAAGAATATTTATACTCACAAACTATTGTATAAGTTGTATAAATTTAAAATGATTAATTTTTAGTCCAATTTTAAAATCGGGAGATTTTTTTATATAAAACGAAAATGGGTAGACTTCACCGTGCCAGCGTTGTGATACTCGTACGAATGAATGATTTTTCTTACTGAATTTTAATTATCATACGGTTAGTATTGCCTCGTAATTCATAATATGTAATGCTATTCATATGGCAGTAACTTCATATACTCATATTTACGATCTCACACTTATTGAAAATAATGGCGGACAAACAGATGTGCGGCTTTAAAACCGGTTTATTTAGGATACGGCCGCTTCATGTGAGGATGGGAACATGGAAGTCTGACGATATCAAAACGCGCCTACTTGTCCTAATTGTATATCTAATAGAAGCGTCAATCTAACCTAACCTAGCCTAACCTAAATTTACTTAGATTCAATTAATTAAGTATGCTCTTAGTATAACAGTTTTTTACGATTTTAATATTTATTAGCGTTAAGTTACAATTTTTTAAGCATTTAAAATAAAAAAAATTCAAAGCAGAATTTTCTTTTCTCTTTATTTAGAATTTTTTTCTATCTTTGTTTTCATTCACAAAATTATTTAGATCCGATTTCAATTATTCCCAATAGACGTCTCTATATTATATTTGTATGTGACTTGTCGTTATTCTTTTATTATTCCCTAAGAAAGGAAACACAAGTAAACAATATATGAGTTGTGTAAAAACAAAAAATACTGACAATATTATAGAAATAATATCTATTTACTATATATTACATATATATATAAATATTGCAAATATACAAAATTAATATGAGAAAAAACATAATTATATTTGCCACAAAAACCTCGTAACTTTATTTTTCATATGGAACCGAAATATAAAAGAACCTTAAAAAAAGAGGAAATTTTTTTTTTTTTATAAGAAATGAATAAATAGAATAAACCACATAATCCTATAATTTACTCCAACTATTAAAATTTATGATGTGGTTTTATTAAAACATTTGTTTTTTTATGTACATATTTACATATGTGTGTATTTAAAATTTTTCTAAACAAAAATAAATTTCTACACCAACACTATACTTACAAAATTTGCTAATGAATGTGTGTATGTACGTCTTTAATTAGACTTGCTTTTTTGAGATTTTATATGGAAGAATAAGAAATTTTAGATTTTAAATATTTAAATAAATCTTTCGAGTTTCATATTGCCAGGAATATGGTTTTTAAATCTATTGCAGAAATTTAAATATTTAGAAATGAATTCAGGAATAATTGCCTAAGCTGAATTGAATTTAAAAATCATTCTTGATACATTTAATATTCAAGGAACTTTTTCTTGAAAAGAATAATATTTTAATTCAAATATAAAAATGAAACGTATATTATAGACCAGAAAATTTCGAATATTCCTTGTTAAGAACTGAACTGGATCTTCAGTACAATTGAGCATTCATATGTACTATTGAATTAACGTTTCGAAAACTTATAATTGATCCGATATATTTTCAGAAAAACGCTGTGAGTTGACAGGAACATGATCTCGTGGGAACTGTGAATTCACTTCGAAGGTGAACGTGTTTGGAGGTTAGGAAAATACAAGCTAAATTGTCTGGGAAAATCTTTGTAAGTCTCCGGATGGGGATGGAATCATGCAATATTGCAAGAGTACTTGGAGAAACTGGTGCCAATTCTTACACAAATATTTACGCCTAGCTAATGCGACGTTAATATTTAACATAGGTGGAGGAAGATGCGGGTTGTATTCATTTTAAAGGCTAATCCTTCTAATATTCACCCTGGGTCGTACCGACCAATAATCCAGACATTATTTCTTTTGAAGTCAATGGATACATTAATGAACGAGCATAAAAGCCACATCCTGCGTGAGAAGCAGTTCTACCGAGATTGTTCAGCATAGCTTTACTCAATAGATAGAGAGGACGTTGAAGACCAAAGAAGTAGCCCTCGAGTACTACCTCGATGTGAAAGGGGCCTTCGACAATACCTCTTTTAAGTCAGTAGTAAGAGCAGTTTCTAACAAGGGAATTGAGACGCCTACTTTTGAATGGATTGTGGGCATGTTGGGAATCCGAATCATCACGACCAATGTGGGAGGCGTCAGTACCACTATTCGAGTCATGCGTATTTGCCCGTAGGGAGGAGTTTTGTCGCCTCTGCTTTGGTAAATGGTATTGGGTGGTTTTCTGTACAAGCTGTGTGACGGGGGTATAATGTGCGAGGCTATGGTGATAATCTGGTTGTTGTTTATTATTATGGACTAGATAAACATAAAGAAGGCGAAACTTATATATTTAGTAGCAGGAAATTTTCATCTGCAATTTTATTTTTCAATATAACTTTGATATTCTTCATAACATTCTTCCACTTTTTAATCATGAAAACAAAAATCTGCCAAAAAAATAAATAACATTTTGGGCTCTTTCCAAAATTGATTTAGAACGTGAATTTCATTATATTGCGCATATAGTAATAATTTCTTAAATTATATAGATGACAGAGAAAATTTTCTATATCAAAAATGAATAATAAGTTTTTCCTTTGAAATTTATTTAATAGGTAAAAAAGACAAAAAAAAAACAACAAGAAATTCCAATATAGGAAAGTAAAGAAAATAAGAATGTCGCCATACTTTTTATTGATTTTGTTTTAAGGTGAAAATATTATTTCTTTTTCATTAGAAAGGTGTTATTAAAAGTTTTCAATTCTACCAACACTACTATATGCAAATAGCACAAAGAAAAAAAAAAGTATATTTGCTTTTATTCACGGCTGCACACTTATTCTATTAATTTTTTTTTGTATTCTCACTTCATTATTATGTAGATGAATGCATTTATATAAAGAGTAGTGGTGGGGAGAACAACAAAAGAGAAAAATCAATTTATGTATTATTTTTTTTATGAGTCATACATTCAAGGATTTCATTTTTATCCTTAATATTATAAAAGATTTTTTGTAATTCTTTTGATGTTTCTTTTGTTTTAAAAAATTTTCTTATATCCGCATTTAATATATAAGTAGTTAAGTATTATTATCAATTTTCATAATATATTAATGATAAAATTTAAAATTAAAAAGGAATAATTTATTTCTTTTTAAGTGGACATTTTAATGTGTAGAAATGTATAGAGGATACCCATTTATTGGATACTGAGTTTGGGTCTCTAATTTATGAAGGAGATCCACTCGTTTATAGGATATTGAGTTTGGTACTCTTTTATCGAAGAGTCAGTGACAACACTGTCTACCCAACATAATGACGGATTATGGGGAAAACCCTTCATCCAACATAAGACAAAATCTATAACAAATTCACATTATTAGTAATTGTACCGCAATATTTCATAATATAGTAGTGAAAATAGGAATTAATAAAGTAGTGAAAAATTTCCCGTGAAAATTTTCTTTCCCGATACGGCCCCGCCCACTATGTTTGAAGTAAAAATTGATTATTTTAAAATTTTATTGAATATTTTTGAAACAAGTAAATTGAATGCAATTTTGTGTTATATTATATTATCTTATATACTTCTGAACGTGAATTAATAAAAATTTCCTATTGTAATTAAAAACATTCTAAATTTTTAATTTTGCGCATAATTACCCATAGGTATGGGTAATTTCGCGCACAATTACCCATAAGTGTGGGAAATTGTGCGAAAAGGAAGAATTTTATAAAACGCTTATATTTTTGCTTTTGGTTAAAATTATTCACATTACAGAAATATAAAATGCTAGATTAAATATCAAACTACCGTAATCAATTTTATTAGGCCGAAAATTATTTCCAGGAAAGCAAGTGTAGGCAATTTGTAATGTGAATTTGTTTGGGCCTCTTGTGTACGTAAAATTGCAGCTCACTCAGCCAGCCAGCTGAGCCAGATTATCGCCTATTGATATGAAAAAAATTTTTAAGGTTACTGAGTCAAGTTATTTGATTGTATGAATATAAAGTACTTTGGTGCAATATGGTTGTGAAGCTTGGACCTTAACGGCAGCGGAAGAAAATTCTTTAAGAGTCTTTGAAAGAAAAGTTATGCGCAAAATTCTTGGTGCTAAAAGGCTTGAAAATGGTGAATATGCTATTAGATCTAATGCTGAGATAAACGATTATTTAAGAGGGGAGGATATTGTACGTTTTTCAAAGGCTCAGAGGCTTCGATGGGCTGGCCACGTGGTAAGGATGAGTGAAAACAGGGCACAATATAAAATCTTCAACACTGTGCCCTATATCAGCAGAGCACGAGGTAGACCTAGAACTAGGTGGGCCGACAACATCGAAAGTGATTGTAGAAAACTTAATATTATGAGCTGGAAATCGACTGCCCAGGATAGAAAAATGTGGAAGAATATAGTGAAGAAGGCCAAGGCTCACCCCGAGCTATAGTGCCACAAGATGATGATGATGATGGTGCAATAGAATAATATTTGTAAAGAATGTAAAGCTCTCAAAATAAATATAACAGTTACGGAGAAACTGTACGAAGAGTTAAATTCTATATATTGGATATAATTTAACAAACTGAATTATTAAATTTACGAATTTACATTTTTATATGAAAACAATAATTTACAAAAAATTACCTAGTCTGACAAGAATACTTAAAATGCTTTAGCTTTTAATTTAAATTTCAGAATTCTTTAGAGAAAAATAGTAGCATTTGATGATTTTAAAAGAAATTTTCATATTTCATAAAGATTATTCAAAACGCACATTTTATTCTTTAAATAAAACTTTTGATTTCTCTAATTTTTTCATAAAGTGTACTTACTTTTCAAAACTAAAATGTTATACAAAAATTATAGAAACAAGAAATAATTTTTTCCACTTAATATATTTTTTTTTTCTGAAAAATTTTTAATTTTCATTTTGGATCCTTGGTATAATTTGTTTTTTAATATTATTACAAATAGTACTGAATAATTTGGGTTATACAATGAAAAATGTTGTTTTTAAAAAAAGATTTTGTTCTTTTATGTTTTGATTTATCCTTGAGCTCAAAACTCAAAATAGTTTTTAAGTGTATGAGTTCAAAATTTTAATTTTATATTACATGCTATACAATACCAAACAGATAGTGCTACCTCGTCATAATACCAAAAATTTTGTATTTTATTTGAAAAATCAAATTTCGAGGGTGCTAATGCTGTGCCTACTCATGTCGTCTATCATCCAATGAAATTAAATATTGACGGGTAATATAGCAAATTTTGCAAATTGAAATTTTCGTATTCCAAAAAAACCTTATGTGTTCATGTAGTCAAAAAAATTTTCTTTAAAGAAAATTTTTTAAATAATTTAAAAATAATTATTTCGAAAATATTTGATCACAAAAGTAGGCATAAAAATTTTTCAATTTAAATTTTATTTTTTTGTTTCTCTTCAAAAATTTTTATAAATTTTGTACGTGCCTTAAATTCAAGTATTTTTTAATTATGCTTTAATAATTTTCAATAATATGAAAATAAATTTTCTCTTTTTTTTTTGAAGGATAATTTATTTATTGTTTTTTTTTTGTCTTCCTTTTTTTTTTTAATTTGATTTGTGTTTTCTAATCAGCTAATTCAAAAAGTGATGTATTTTTTATGAGAGTTTAAATGTATATGTGTCTATGTGTACAGAACGAGAGAAAACGAGAGAAGAAAAATAAAAGGAAAAAATTATTTCCCAAAGAGGCAGTGTAGGAGAATATTTTTCAAAGAAAGAGAATTTTTCCGAAATTTTCAGATGAAATTAAACATCTAAGATCAAAGGATTTTTGTTTTTGTTTTTTATATACAATATCCTTGGAAAATATTTTTTTTTGTTTTTCTTTACAAAACAATTTCATTATTTCTAATATTATAAAATTCGTGTATAATACTTTGGAGAATTTTTTGTGTGTTTTTTTTTTTTTCGAAAAATAATAACTTATGTAAGACAGTATGTACGAAAGTGAAAATTTATATACTACATACATACAGAATAATATTTTTGTATGCGTTTAATTTAAGGTTAGAGTATGTCTTTGTAAAATATTTAAGTAGTATGTAATAGGAATATGGTATATGCAATAATCGTTTTTCAATGCGTAGTATCACGTCAAAAGAATTATGAGCTAAAAAAATATCGTAATATGAGTAAAAATATCTGCTTTCCCTAATAAACAGATATACCTAAAATTTCGTTCAACATTTACCTTATTTATTTTGTTGAGTTTCAAAATTAATAAAAAATTGCAATAGGTTTTGATAATTGTATACTTAGATTACTTAACTAATTTTTTATATTGTAGCTATTTCAATAAATAGCTACAATAGTTAATAGTATTGTACATTATAATGTTCATTAAATAATTATTTCAATATTTTCAAAATATATTTAATTCTGTATGTTTTCTATTCGTTTGACCTAACACTGTAATTTTGCTACCCAACAATTTTGACACATATTTTCATTGTAATCTATAGTAGTAACAGTGTCAAGTATTAAATGCTATAGTAATGGCCAAGTATTCAAAGTATTTAACATTTTATGGTCCTTCCGGAGCCGGATACAGTTTCTCATTTTCGTTTCCACATGTTTTGGAGAAATATAGGTCTTAAAAGCACTTCAAAATTAGTAAATGGGGTCATAAATTCATATATTAATTTCCCATCGCTTAGTATACATAAATTTATTCATAATTATTTTAGACTAGACTTAAATAATTGAATATTTTAAAGAAGGACTTAATTAGACTCTTATATAGTGAATGTAGATTGAATTTTTTGAAATTTTATATTTGTTTGATTAAGTATTAAAGAAATTTTTAATAATTTCCAAAAATTCGAAATTTAATAATTACAATTTAATATCAAAAAATTTTCATTCAAAAGAATTCAAAAATCTTAACAAAATTTTTTTATATTATTC